AAAAAAAAAAAAAAAAAACTTGGAAGTGTGCAGATAAGCTCATTAAAGGTAGGGGCTATTAGTGTTATCCGTGACCATTAATCCTGCATCCTAAGCTTGCTCCTTTGTTGTCTTTACGTAGCGTGGGCTGCATTCTTAGGACGTCTGGACATTCTGCAGGTTTGGTGGGATGTGTCCTCTATGGCCATAAATATTCTGTAACTATAATTGGTGGTCACTTTGGGATGTGGTGGTTTTCAGGCCATAAGCATGAACTTTGTAAATGCCTAACTACTCACTTTTTTTTTTTTTTTTTTGAGATGGAGTTTCGCTCTTGTTACCCAGGCTGGAGTGCAATGGCGCGATCTCAGCTCACCGCAACCTCCGCCTCCTGGGTTCAGGCAATTCTCCTGCCTCAGTCTCCCGAGTAGCTGCGACTACAGGCGTGCGCCACCATGCCCAGCTAATTTTTGTATTTTTAGTAGAGACGGGGTTTCACCATGTTGTCCAGGTTGGTCTCGATCTCCTGACCTCGTGATCCACCCGCCTCGGCCTCCCAAAGTGCAGGGATTACAGGCTTGAGCCACCGCGCCCAGCTTACTCACTTTAAGATAGAGTCATTCTAGTCATGTTTTATTAAAAACCAGAGGCTGGTCGGGCACAGTGGCTCATGCCTGTAATCTCAGTACTTTGGGAGGCTGAGGCAGGTGGATCACTCGAGGTCAGGAGTGTAAGACCAGCCTGGCCAACGTGGTGAAATCCTGTGTCTATTAAAAATGCCAAAATTAGCCAGGTGTGGTGGCAGGCGCTTGGGAGGCTGAGGCAGGAGAATGGCTTGGACCCAGGAGGTGGAGGTTGCAGTGAGCTGAGATCGTGCCACTGCACTCCAGCCTGGGTGACAGAGCAAGATTCTGTCTCAAAACAAAACTAAACAAAACAGAAAACGAACAAAAAAAAGTTTGCCTCTCGGCCGGGCATGGTGGCTCATGCCTGTAATCCAAGCACTTTGGAGGCCAAGGCGGGCAGATCACCTGAGGTCAGGAGTTCAAGACCAGCCTGACCAACACGGTGAATCCCTGTCTTTAAAAAAAAAAAAAAAAAAGTTTGCCTCTCCTCTTCCACTTAAGCCTCTCCTCCCTGATTCTCTCTAGCTTCAATGGGCGGCATGTGCCTCTCTCTGGCTCCCAGATCGTCAAGGGCAAGTTGGCAGGCAAGCGGCACCGCTATCGCGTCCTCAGCAGCTGTCCCCAGGCTGGAGAAGCAACCCTGCTGGCCCCCTCAACAGAGGCAGGAGGTGAACTCACCTGTGCCCCAGCCCCCCAGGGCAGCCTAAGGATCCTTGAGGGTCCCCAGCAATCCCTGTCAGGGAGCCCTCTGCAGCCCATTCCAGCCAGCCCCCCACCACAGATCCCCGCTGGCCTGAGGCCTCGGTTCTGTGCCTTTGGGGGCACCCCACCAGTCACAGGGCCGAGGTCAGCCTTGGTCCCCAATTCGCTCACTTCTGGGAGGAAGAAAAAGGAGATGCAGGTGACAGAGGCCCCCGTCACTCAGGAGGCAGTGAATGGGCACGGGACCCTGGAGGTGGACGTGGCTTTGGGGTCCCCAGAAATGGATGTGCGGAAGAAGAGGAAGAGGAAGAAGAAAAATCGGCAGCTGCAAGAACCAGAGGTGGCAGGGCCTGTGGAGACAGAGCCCACAGCAGAGACGCCGGAGCCTCTGGGCGTGCCGCTCCCGTCTACCACCAAGAAGAGGAAGAAGCAGCCCAAAGGGCCAGAAACCTTTGAGCCAGAAGAAAAGACAGCAGAGCTGGAATGGATGAACACTGAGCCTCTGGACGAGACAGCCCTGTCCCCGACCACAAAGAGAAAGAAGCAAAAGGGGGCAGGAGGAATGGAGCCAGAGGAGGGGGTGACAGTTGAGCCTCAGCTGCAGGTGAAGGCAGAGCCCCTGGAGGCGGCCGTCCCTCTGGCACCTACAAAGAAGAGGAAGAAAGAAAAGGGACAGACCGCAATGATGGAGCCGGGGATGGAGGCGACGGAGCCAGCGGAGCCAGAGATGAGCCCTCTGAAGCTCCCAGGGATGACGGAGCCTCAGCAGCCACATGGAGCTGAGCCTCAGGCCCAGGCAGCTCTGGCAGCTCCCAAGAAGAGGAGGAAGAAAGAACAGCAGCAAAATGCCCCAGTGGAGCCAGAGCCGGAGCTGGTGGAGCCGGAGCTGCCGGGGGAGCCTCAGGCAGCTCCCACATCCAGCGAGAAGAAGAAAAAGAAGAAAGAGAGAGGTCACACCGTCACTGAGCCAGGGACTGGGCTCACTGAGCCACCGGCGCCCGAGCGGCCACGGGAGGTAGAGCCTGAGGCCGGGGCAGCTCCAGGATCCACCAAGAAGAGGAAGAAGAGGAGGCGGGAACGCCACGTGCCAGAGACAGTGCCCCAGGAGGAGACGCCAGGGCCACCGCTGAACTCAGAGTCGGGAGAGGAGGCTCCTGCAGGCCGGGACAAGAAGCGGAAGCAGCAGCAGCCGCAGCCTGTGTAGTCTTCCCCAGGGAAACCGAGGAACTGAAGAACGCTGAAGATGCCCACCTGAGCCACGAGAAGGTGACAGCCCGAGAACCCTGCCCCAGAGATGGCACTAGCACAGCCAGCAGGAGCCTGGCCTGGGAAGACGCTTTATTATTACACTGGGGTCTCCTCCGCAGCTGCGGTCACCGGGGCACTTTCAAGAAGGGCTCGTGCAGGACATCAAACAGCCTCCGGGCCTGCGTGGGAGGGAGAAAGAAACCAGGAACCTGTTATTAAACGTTTCTTGGGTGAATCCAGAGTGGGGCTGTGGTTCTGTTATCTTCCCCATACCCTCGAGCATTTATCCGTTGAGTTACAAACAATCCAGTTACACTCTTTTTGGTTATTTATTTTTTCTTTTTTGAGTCAGCGTCTCGCTCTGTCACCCAGGCTGGAGTGCAGTGGTGTGACCTCGGCTCCCTGCATCCTCCGCCTCCCAGGTTCAAATGATTCGTCCACCTCAGCCTCCTGAGTAGCTAGGACTACGGGTGTGCACCACCACTAATTTTTCAATTTTGAGTAAAGATGGGGTTTCACTGTATTGGCCAGGCTGATCTTGAACTCCTGACCTCATGATCCGCCTGCCTTGGCCTCCCAAAGTGCTGGGATTACAGGTGTGACCCACCACGCCTAGCCAAGTTATCTTAAAATGTAGTTATTGATTATGGTCACCTACCTGGTTGTGCTATCAAATAGTATGTCTTACTCAATTTTTTTTTTTTTTTTTTTTTTTTTTGTGGTGCCCATTAACCTTCCCACCTCCCTGCTAGCCCTTCACTACCCTCCCCAGCCTCCAGGAACCACCCTACTCTAGCTCCATGAGTTCAGTTGTTTTGAGTGTTAGATACACAACTAAGTGAGAACATGCGATGTTTGTCTTTCTGTGCCTGACTTATTTCACTTAACCTAATAATCTCCAGTTCATGATGTTGCAAAGGACGGGATCTCATTTCTTTTTTGAAATGGGTCTCGCTCTGTCACCCAGGCTGGAGTGTAGTGGCACGATCTTGGCTCACTGCAACCTCTGCCTCCCGGGTTCAAGGGATTCTCCTGCCTCAGCCTCCCATGCAGCTGGAATTACAGGTCCCCGCCACCAGGCCCGGCTAATTTCTGTATTTTTAGTAGAGACAGGGTTTCACCACATTGGCCAGGCCGCTCTCGGACTCCTGGCCTCAAGTGATTTACCCGCCTCAGCCTCCCAAAGTGCTGGGATTACAGGAGTGAGCCACCACGCCTGACCAGGATCTCCTTTTTCATGGCTGCAGTGTGCTCCATTGTGTAGATGTACCACATTTTCTTTGCCTGGTCATCTGCGGATGGACACAGGTTGCTTCCAAATCTTGGCAATGTGACCAGTGCTGCAACCAACATAGGACTGTAGGCGTTCTTCAGTACACTGATTTCCTTTCTTTTGGGGATATACCCAGCAGTTTGTTGCTGGATCATGTGGAACCTCAATGTTCAGTTTTTTTGAGAAGCCTCTAAACTGTTCTCCACAGTGGTTGTAAGAATTTACCTTCCCACCAAAAGTATACGACGGTTCCCATTTCTTCACGTCCTTGCCACCGTTTGCTATTGCCTGTCCTTTGGATAAAAGCCATTTTAACGGGGCTGAGATGGTATCTCATTGTAGTTTGTTTTTATTTTGTTTTGCTTTTTTTTTTTTTTTTTAGATGGGGTTTCACTCTTGTTGCTCAGCCTGGAGTGCAGTGGTATGATCTCGGCTCACTGCAACCTCCATCTCCCAGGTTCAAGCGATTCTCCTGCCTCAGCCTCCCAAGTAGCTGGGATTACAGGCATGTGCCACCATGCCTGGCTAATTTTTTGCATTTTTAGTAGAGACGGGGTTTCACCATGTCGGCCAAGCTGGTCTTGAACTCCTGACCTCAGGTGATCCACTGCCTCAGGCTCCCGGCAAGCTGGGATTACAGACGTGAGCCACCGCGCCTGGCCTAGCAGCTTTGTAACTTGCTGCGGTCCCATTTGTCCCTTTTTGCGTGAGTTGCCTGTGCTTCTGGGGCATTACTCAAGAAACCTCTGCCCAGTTCAGTGTCCTGGAGATCTTCCCCAGTGTTTTCTTGTAGAAGCTTCATGGTTTGAGGCCTTAGATTTAAGTCTTCAATCCATTTTGATTTGATTTTTGTGTATGGCGAGAGATAGGGGGTCTAGTTTCATTCTTCTGCATTGGATTGATTTCTGCTTTGAGACAGGGTTACTCTGTCACCCTGGCTGGAGTGTAGTAATGTGATTATAGCTCACTGCAGCCTCAACCTCCTGGGCTCAAGTGATCCTCCCATCTCAGCCTCCCCAGTAGCTGAGACTATAGACACGTAGCAAGCACATGGCACCATGCCCAGCTAGTTGTTTAATTTTTAGTAAAGATGAGGTGTCCACTTGTCCAGGCTGGTCTCCAACTTCTGGCCTCAAGCGATCCTCCTGCCTCAGTCTCCCAAAGTGTTGGGATTACAGGTATAAGCCACAGTGCCTGGCCTTTGGTTCTTTTTTCATCTTAAAACTTTGGGGTCTCAGGTTGTGTTTATTTGGGGCTCCCTCCTTCCCCCAGCTCCTCGGGTTCTCTCCCAGAGCTCTTACCTTCTGAGGGCCCAGGCCTGGGCATAAGGCCAGATCTTCTCTCGATGCAGCGATGAGCTGTTCCAGAGACTGGAAGGTGAAAGCCAGAGGTCAGGGCAGCTGAGCACAAAAGCCTCCCCTGGCCAGGAACGATGGCTCACGCCTGTAATCCCAGCACTTTGGAAGGCTGAGGCGGGTAGATCATGAGGTCAGGAGTTCAAGACCAGCCTGGCCAACATACTGAAACCCCATATCTGCTAAAAATACAAAAATTAGCCAGGCGTGTTGGCGTGCACCTGTAGTCCCAGCTACTTGGGAGGCTGAGGCAGGAGAATCGCTTGAACCTGGGAGGTAGAGGTTGCAGTGAGCGGAGATCATGCCACTGCACTCCAGCCTAGGCAGCAGAGCGAGACTCCATCTTAAAAAAAAAAAGTCTCCCCTATCCCAGCTGAGGAGGAGCCTCAGATATTCCCCAGGGCAGGATGGGCCAAGGTGTGGGCAGGGAGGTGGAGGGAAATGGAAGAGAGGCTTCCTAGAAAAGGCAAGGGGACAGAAATGCCCGTGAAGCAGGGGGGCCAATCCTTACCCCAAATGTGGTCAGGAGGGTCTGGCTGTCCGTTTTGTTGACTGACTTCACGGTGGTCAGACATTCAGTCACCTAGAAGGGGAGCGGGCAGGAGTGTCTCAGGAGAGGAAAGGCTGGTGAGACTGAGCCTGTGAGGGCAGGGCTGGGTCACAGCTATGTCCACAGACTGTCCGGTATGCAGGAGGCACTCAATAAATACTTTTTTTTCCCAACTGATTAAAAAGTCGTCTCAGGCTGGACATGGTGGCTCATGCCTAATAATCCCAGCATTTTGGGAGGCAGAGGCAGGAGGATCACCTGAAGTCAGGAGTTCAAGACCAGCCTGGCCAATACGGTGAAACCCCATCTCTACTAAAAATACAAAACAATTAGCCAGGCATGGTGGCGTCCCCTTGTAGTCCCAGCTACTCGGGAGGCTGAGGCAGGAGAATCACTTGAATCCGGGAGGTGGAGGTTGTGCTGAACAGAGATCATGCCACTGTACTCTAGCCTGGGTGATGGAGCAAGACTCTGTCTCATTAAAAAAAAAAAAAAAAAAAAAGCCGGGCACGGTGGCTCAAGCCTGTAATCCCAGCACTTTGGGAGGCCGAGGCGGGTGGATCACGAGGTCGAGAGATCAAGACCAGCCTGGTGAACATGGTGAAACCCCGTCTCTACTAAAAGTAAAAAACATTAGCTGGGCATGGTGGCACGTGCCTGTAATCCCAGCTACTCAGGAGGCTGAGGCAGGAGAATTGCCTGAACCCAGGAGGTGGAGGTTGCGGTGAGCCGAGATCGCGCCATTGCACTCCAGCCTGGGTAACAAGAGCGAAACTCCGTCTCAAAAAAAAAAAAAAAAGAAAAGAAGAAGGCCGGGCTCGGTGGCTAGTGCCTGTAATCCCAGCACTTTGCGAGGCTGATATAGGCAGATCACAAGGTCAGGAAGTCAAGACCATCCTGGCCAACATGGTGAAACCCCGTCTCTACTACAAATACAAAAAGTAGCTGAGTGTGGTGGTGGGCGCCTGTAATTCCAGCTACTCAGGAGGCTGAGGCAGGAGAATTGCCTGAACCCGGGAGGCAGAGATTTCAGTGAGCTGAGCTCACGCCGCTGCACTCCAGCCTGGAGACAGCCAGATTCTGTCTCAAAAATAAAAAATAAAAAGAAGGGGCAAGGGCTTGCAGGAGCGAGCTAGGCCTGGGAGAATGAAGTATGAAGTGGGGGCCACAGGGCTTCTGAGCCAGATGGGTCCTGGTTGAGCCTGGTGAGAAGCTTGGGCCTTCCCTCAGGGCACTGGGGAGCCGTGGAGGGCTTTGAGCTGGGGAGGGTAGCAGCAGGTGTGCTCAGGAAAACCCCTCTAGCTGCAGTTTGGGTGGGATGGGGCAGCAGAGAAGAGGTCCGGGAAGAAATGGGCAGTGCCTTAAGATTGGAACCGAAGCTCAACCACCTGGGAGCCGTGGGGAGGCCCAGGCAAGGAGGGGAGGGGAGCTGGCCTCACCCGGGAGACGAAGTCCTGCTCTAGCTTCTCCATCAGGAGGTCCGCTGGTTTCTGCTCATAGGCCTTGTAGGTCTCCAGGTACCGCCCAGCTTCCTCAGGGCTGGATAACAGGATACAGGACAGCCAGGAGGTGAGTTACCGGATTTTAGATTTGCCTCCTTGTGGTCAGTCATTAGAATTACCGATGCCATAAATCAAATTTCCGTTTCCAGCCTAGCCCCCGGCCAAATGCAACCTGATAGTGACCCCTGCTGGGCGCCTCTTGGCATCTTTTTTGGCTGAGGGCCAGCTCTTGGGAGCCTGACCCCACTTCTGCCTGGGTGACCCTGAGCCAGTGGTTTGCTCTCTGGGCCTCAGTTTCCTCACCGTAAAGTGGGGTGGCCAGGCATAGTGGCTCATGCTTGTAATCCCAGCACTTTGGGAGGCTGAGGCAGGAGGATCACTTGAGCTCAGGAGTTGGAGACCAGCCGGGACAACATAGCAAGAGATTGTCTCTACAAAAAATTAAAAACTGCCAGGCAGTGGCTCAGGCTTGTAATTCCAGCACTTTGGGAGGCCGAGGCGGGCGGATCACCTGAGATCAGGAGTTTGAGGCCAGCCTGACCAACATGGAGAAACCCCGTCTCTACTAAAAATACAAAATTAACCAGGTGTGGCGGCGCGTGCCTGTAATCCCAGCTACTTGGGAGGCTGAGGCAGGAGAATCGCTGGGAGGCGGAGGTTGCGGTGAACTGAGATCGTGCCATTGCACTCCAGCCTGGGCAACGAGAGCCAAACTCCGTCTCAAAAAAAAAAAAAAATTAAAAATTAGGCCAGGCGCGGTGGCTCAAGCCTGTAATTCCAGCACTTTGAGAGGCCGAGGAGGGTGGATCACAAGGTCAAGAGATTGAGACCATCCTGGTCAACATGGTGAAACCCCGTCTCTACTAAAAAATACAAAAAATTAGCTGGGCATGGTGGCGGGTGCCTGTAATCCCAGCTACTCAGGAGGCTGAGGCAGGAGAATTGCCTGAACCCGGGAGGCGGAGGTTGCGGTGAGCCGAGATCGCGCCATTGCACTCCAGCCTGGGTAACTCCGTCTCAAAAAAAAAAAAAAATTAAAAATTAGCCAGGTGTGGTGTCTCGAACCTTTTATCTCAGCCGCTTGGGAAGCTGTGGCAGGAGGATTGCCTGAGCCTGGTAAGTTGAGGCTTCAGTAACCTGTGATGGTGCCACTGTACTCCAGCCTGGGCAACAGAGCAAGACCCTGTCTCAAAAAAATAATAAAGTGGGGAGGATGGTATGATTGTGAAGATCAGAGAATACTCTGCAGTTCTCTGTAAGTGCTCAAAGCCGTGCCTGGCACTGCTGAAGAATGTTAGCTATTTTGGAAGGGAAGTCAGCACAGAAAGTGTGTGCACTGGTTTCACAGGAGGAAAACCAGAACCACTGCTGCTTTTCCCACTGCAGCGAGAAGCCAACCTCATGAAACGTTCAGCTTCCGGCCAGGCATGGTGGCTCATGCGTGTAATCCCAGCACTTTGGGAGGCCGAGGCAGGAGGATCACCTGAGTTCAGGAGTTCGAGACCAGCCTGGTCTACATGGCGAAACCCCATCTCTACGAAAAATACAAAGAATTAGCCGGGCATGGTGGTGGACACCTGTAATTCCAGCTATGTGGGAGGCTGAGGCAGGATAATCACTTGAACCCTGGAGGCAGGGCCAAGATCGCACCACTGCACTCCAGCCTAGGGAACAGAGTGAGACTCTGTATCAAACAAAAAGATATTAAGACTTTGTTTTACAGATGAGGAAACTGAAGGCCAGAGAAAGGCAGTCCCTGCAACAGGCCCACACAGGAAGGAGGAGGAAAGGGCTGGGCAGGCTGGGATGGGGGAGTAGGGACCAATCCCACGTAGAGCCTGAATCAGGCAGGGAAGCCCCCATCTCACCTCCAGGCGAGGATCAGCGTGCAGTCCGCCAGGATGCACATCTTAGCCAGCTCCTTGAGGGCCTGCTGGGGATCTTTCTGGAAGAGAAAATCAGAATTAAAAACCTAAAAGCCGGCCGGGCGTGGTGGCTCACACCTGTAATCCAAGCACTTTGGAGGCCAAGGCGGGTGGATCAACTGAGGTCAGGAGTTCAAGACCAGCCTGACCAACATGGTGAAACCCCGTCTTTAAAATTTAAAAAAAAAAAAAGAGAAAAAAAAGTAATTAAAAAAAAGAAACCTAAAAGCCAGGAATTACAAAAATTAGCTGGGAGTGGTGGCAGGCGCCTATAATCCCAGCTACTCAGGAGGCTGAGGCAGGAGAATCACTTAAACCTGGGAGGCGGAGGTTGCAGTGAACTGAGATCGCACCACTGTACTCTAGCCTGGGCGACAGCGGGAGACTCTGTCTCAAAAATAAGTAAATAAAGGAATTACAAAAGCCTGAAAACAAAGTAGCTCAGGATGCCAAGAGCCTTTCACACAGTTGTCACTGTCAAGCTCCTACTGGGTGCCCAGCCTGTGCTGGGCAGTGCCAGCACCCAGTAGTGGCTGAGACAGCCCTGACTCTGCCCTCTCGGGGCACACAGTCTGATGAGCAGGACAGACCTCTCCCCAGACATTAATGACCTGGAATGGCCAGGGCTGAGATGTGGGAGCCAGTGGAAGGCCTGAGCCTCCCTGGGGGATCAGGGAGGGCTTCTTGGAAGAGGGGACATCTGAGCTGAGACCCAAAGGAGGAGGAGGAAAGGATGAAAAGAAGAGCAGAAAAGGGAACTCCAGATGTAGAGAACAGCATGGGCAAAGGATGGGAGGGGAAAGAGGGCTTGGGGAAATACAGTGCTCTCCATACGGGAGAGAGGATGCGGAATTCCACGACGAGCACGAAATCTTAAGAGGTGGGCCTGGAGAAATGGGTAGAGGTCGGAGGTCACACAGGGCCCCATGGGTCATGGAGGAGAGCAGAACTTTCTCCTAGGGCTCTTAGGTTCTTAGGAGCCATGAGAATTTTAGAATTTTCTTTTCTGGTTTTTTTTTTTTTTTTTTTTTTTTTTGAGACGGAGTTTCGCTCTTGTTACCCAGGCTGCAGTGCAATGGCGCGATCTCGGCTCACCGCAACCTCCGCCTCCTGGGTTCAGGCAATTCTCCTGTCTCAGCCTCCTGAGTAGCTGGGATTACAGGCACGCGCCACCATGCCCAGCTAATTTTTTTTGTATTTTTAGTAGAGACGGGGTTTCACCATGTTAACCAGGATGGTCTCGATCTCTTGACCTCGTGATCTACCAGCCTCGGCCTCCCAAAGTGCTGGGATTACAGGCTTGAGCCTCTGCGCCCGGCCTGCTTTTTTTTTTTTTTTTTTTTTTTTTTTTTTAAGGCAGAGTCTCACTGTTGCCCAGGCTGGAGTGCAATGGTGCAATCTCAGCTCACTGCCACCTCTGCCTCCCGGGTTCAAGCAATTCTCCTGCCTCAGCTTCCCAAGTAGCTGGGACTGCAGGCACACACCACCACACCCAGCTAAATTTTGTATTTTTAGTAGAGATGGGGTTTCTCCAGGTTGGCCACACTGGTCTCGAACTCCTGATCTCAGGTGATCTGCACACCTGGACCTCCTAAAGTACTGGGATTACAGGCGTGAGCCACTGCACCCAGCTGAGTTTTTGTTTGTTTGTTTGTTTGTTTTAATTTTTAGAGACAGGGTCTTGCTATGTTACCCATTCTGATCCTGAACTCTGACCTCAAGCAATCCTCTTCCATGGGGTCAGGTGAAGTGGCTCACCCAACCTGAGGCAGGAGGATCACTTGAGGCCAAGAGTTCGAGACTAGCCTGAGCAACATAGTGAAGACCGCATGTCTACAAAATACAAAAAATAGCTGGATATGGTGGTGTGTGCCTATAGTCCTAGCTATGTAGGAGACTGAGGCAGGAGGATCACTTGCGCCCAGAAGCTCAAGACTGCACTGAGCTATGTCTGGGCCACTGTGCTCCAGCCTGGGCAACAGAGCAAGACCCTGTGTCAAAAAAAAAAAAAAAAAAAAAGAGAGAGGTCAGGTGTAGTGGCTCACTGCTGTAATCCCAGCACTTTGGGAGGCAGAGGTGGGTGGATCACTTAAGGTCAGGAGTTTGAGACCAGCCTGGCCAAAATGGTGAAACCCTATCTCTACTAAAAATCCAAAAATTGGCCAGGCGCTGTGGCTCATACCTGTAATCCCAGAACTTTTGGAGGCCCTCGGGAGCCGAGGAGGGTGGATTATCTGAGGTCAGGAGTTGGGAGACCAGCTTGGCCAGCATGATGAAACCCTATCTCTACTAAAAATACAAAAATGTATCTGGGCATGGTGGTGCATGCCTGTAATCCCAGATACTCGGGAGGCTGAGTCCGGAGAATCACTTGAGCCCAGGAGGCAGAGGTTGCAGTGAGGCTGAGCTACTGCACTCCGGCCTGGGCGATGGAGCGAGACTCTATTTCACTGAATAAATAAATAATACAAAATATAGTCAGGCATTGGTGTTGTGTACCTGTAATCCCAGTTGCTCAGGAGGCTGAGGCAGGAGGATGGTTTGAACCAAGGAGGCAGAGGTTGCAGTGTGCCAAGATGGAGCCATGGCACTCCAGCCTGGGTGACAGAGTAAGACCCCGTCTTAAAACAAAAAAAGAGAGAGATGGCCAGGGCGATGGCTCACTGCCTGTAATCACAGCACTTTGAGAGGCCGAGGCAGGTGGATCACCTGAGGTCGGGAGTTCAAGACCAGCCTGGCCAACGTGGTAAAACCCCATCTCTCCTAAAAATACAAAAATTAGCTAGGTGTGGTCACATACACCTGTAATCCCAGCTACTTGGGAGGCTGGGGCAGGAGAATTGCTAGAACCTGGGAGGCAGAGGTGGCAGTGAACCAAAATCTCACCATTGCACTCCAGCCTGGGTGACAAGAATGAAACTCCACCTCAAAAAAAAAAAAAAAAAAAAAGAGGCTGGGCACAGTGGCCCACGCCTGTAATCCCTGCACTTTGGGAGGCTGAGGTCAGGAGATCAAGCAGCCTGACCAACAAGGTGAAACCCTGTCTCTACTAAAAATACAAAAATTAGCCGGGTGTGGTAGTGAGTGCCTGTAAGCCCAGCTATCTGGGAGGCTGAGGCAGGAGAATCGCTTGAACTCAGGAGGCGGAGGTTGCAGTTGAGCTGAGATCGCGCCCCTGTGCTCCAGCCTGGGCAACAGAGTGAGACTCCATCTCAAAAAAAAAGGGGGGGGGTGGTATTTAGGTGGCAGAGGTCTGGGACTAATAGAAGGGGATGTGGGGAAAGAGGAAATAGATAATTTTGCCCTCCCACCTCCTTGCCAACCCAGTTTCTTGGTGACCCATGTCAATCTCAGATGTGAAAAACGTTCCGCGCTGAGGTTTCAGCTGCATTTCCTCTTGGAAGGGATTCAACAGTTCACTCCACCAGCTCGAGGCCCAGCACTCCCATTCCGCACATGGGGATGGCGAGGCCAGCTGCGGAGCGACCCCTGCTTACCACATCCACCTGGACGAGCAGGACCCGCAGGGCGAAGGTCTTCCCCAGGCTCTGCAGCCGCGCGTGGATGTAGTCCGGGTGCAGGTTGTGGTAGCGGAGGCTGGCGGGAGGCAGGGGAGCGGGATTTGGGAGGTCTCAGTCTCTCCCAGAGCCCCGAAGCCCTTCTGCCCTCTCACTGGAACGCTGCGGGCTCGGCGTCTGGCACAGGGCACAGAGGGGACCTGAGGCCCACAAAGGTAAGTGACTTGCCCCAGGTCACTCTTCCGGGAAGATGCTCCACGGGGGTTGGCAGCCAGGGCCACACGGCCACGGTGAACCAGAAGGCCAGGCCCCTAGCTTCCTCATGCAGACGGGGAGACGTGGCCTCCGGGGGAGAACGGGCACCAGGGGCCCCGGAGAGTGCGGTCCGGGGCCCTCACGGCTCACGGTAGGCAGCAGGGCCCACTGCCAGCCCGTGTGCTCTGGCCTTGGAGGGCTGCGCTGAGGGCTTCACGACCCAGGGACCTGGGCCAGCTCTGCCCAGCACTCCAGCTCTCACAGCCTGTGGGGAGCACAGGGACTCACGGGTTCACTTCCTCTGTCTAGCCCTGTTTGCAGAGGAGCCCTTCGGTTGGAGGGGGAAGTTGTTTAACTAGGGTAGAGATGGGAGAAATCCTGCCTCTCGTTAACATCGGTCAAGGATGTCTGGGACCTCAGTGGCCCAGCCCCTCCTCCCTCAGACCCAGGAGTCCAGGCCCCAACCCCTCCTCCCTCAGACCCAGGAGTCCAGGCCCCCAGCCCCTCCTCCCTCAGACCCAGGAGTCCAGGGTCTGGACTTGCTGCACCAGGCACCTCCAGGCCAAGACCCCTTCCTCTCACACAAGGTCCCACCAAGGCCCTGCGCCTGCAGGACCATGCCCAGAGGTTTCTCACAGAACAGTCCAGAAAGCTGGGACATGACCCTCCAAGGCCAGTGGGACGCCCTTCCTGAAGGCTGGGGTGGAGCCGCAGAGCTCACCTGAGGAACAGGGCACAGGTGCTCTGGCCCAGCACATAGTCGGGGATCACATCGCCAAATTCCCAGGGCACATTGCGCACGAACTTCAGTACGGGATTGCCCCTCTGGGAAGGGAGGAAGGGCAGAAGCCATCAATAGGAATGACTCTTGGCAACCACAGGGCCCTCCTCCCCCTCCTCTGGAACCTCCTCCCTCCTCCCACCTCTTCCCATACCTCCTCCCTCCTCCCACCTCTTCCCATACCTCCTCCCTCCTCCCACCTCTTCCCATACCTCCTCCCTCCTCCCACCTCTTCCCATACCTCCTCCCTCCTCCCACCTCTTCTCATACCTCCTCCCTCCTCCCACCTCTTCTCATACCTCCTCCCTCCTCCCACCTCTTCCCATACCTCCTCCCTCCTCCCACCTCTTCCCATACCTCCTCCCTCCTCCCACCTCTTCCCATACCTCCTCCCTCCTCCCACCTCTTCTCATACCTCCTCCCTCCTCCCACCTCTTCCCATACCTCCTCCCTCCTCCCACCTCTTCCCATACCTCCTCCCTCCTCCCACCTCTTCCCATACCTCCTCCCTCCTCCCTCTCCCCTCCTCCCACCTCTTCCCATACCTTCACCCACCTGTGCCCCGGTCTTCTTTTCCAGCTTCACCCTCCTCCTCCCAAGCCTGGACAGTCCCTGGTCCTCTGATCCAGGCTCCTTCCCTCCCCTCCGACTGGTGTCAGGCCTTTCCTAAAGGGTCCCTGGGTCTGTGTCCAGCTCAGCCCTCTCCCCCAGCCCCGATCTGCGTGTCCTGTGGTCCTGAACACTTCCTGCCCCCACGCCCGGCTAATTTTTGTATTTTTAGTAAAGACGAGGTTTCACCATGTTGGCCAGGCTGGTCTCAAACTCCTGACCTCAGGTGATCTGCTGGCCTAGGCCTCCCAAAGCGCTGGGATTACAGGCGTGAGCCACTGCGCGTTCAGTACATTTTGAATAAATTAACGAAGCTGGGGTCAGGAAACAGCTGCACCAACACAGCCACAGCCCCAACAAGAACAGCTGGGACACTCTCAACCCACACACCACGGCCGAATGAATGGCGAGAACAAAGTGGCTGGACCTTAGACCTCCTTCCACCGGAGTCATCCCTAGAACAGCGTTTCCCACTGGAAACCTTAAGGCCCCCTTCTCCGTCTCCCTCCTCACCTGCCGAGGGCTCACGATGATGCTGTTGGATTTTGCCCCTGGTTTGGGGGCCTGGTTGGGGGTCTCTCCTGCCAGGGGCTCTGACCCTGTGGGACACGTAGCCCCAGGCCCTCCTGCAGGCCGTGACATGACATATTCAGCGTAGGTCTGAGGGGCCGCCTGGGCCGAGGTGTCCACAGTGGGAAGGTTCTTTGTGGATTTGAATAAAGGCTTGGCCTGTAGGGAGAAACGGGGTTTGGAGGGGACTGGTTGGGATGAGCGGGGGACATCTGGGGCCCTGTGAGTCCCTCTTCCTTTTTTTTTTTTTTTTTTTGAGACAGAGTCTCGCTCTGTTGCCCAGGCTGGAGTGCGGTGGCACAATCTTGGCTCGATGCAACCTCCGCCTCCCAGGTTCAAGTGATTCTCCTGCCTCAGCCTCTGAGTAGCTGGGACTACAGGCACGAGCCACCACACCAGACTAATTTTTGTATTTTTAGTAGAGACGGGGCTTCACCTTGTTGGTCAGGCTGGTCTCAAACTCCTGACCTCAAGTGATCTGCTCACCTCAAGCAGCTGAGACTACAGGCATGTGCCATCACACCCGGCTAATTTTTGTATTTTTCGTAGAGACAGGGTTTCACCATGTTGTCCAGGCTGATCTCAAACTCCTGACCTCAGGCGATCCACCTGCCTCGGCCTCCCACAGTGCTGGGATTACAGGCATGAGGCACCGCAGTGGACCCCTCTCCCCTCTTTAGGGCTGCCCATTCTCCTTCCTCCTAATGTCCCTTCCAGAAGGCTGAGAGCTCAAAATCTGACTCCAGCCACTTCTCTCTACCTCCTCAGCCTCCACGCTGGTCCCAGCCACCAGGGTTTCACCTTTGGACCACTGAAGTCACCCCCTCACCCGCTCCTTGCCTATCCCTTCGCCCCCTGGAAGTCTGTCCCTACACTAAGTCTTCACGTCCCTCCTCTGATCAGAGCTGGTGGGTGGCTCCTGGCTCAGAGGGAAAGCCAAAGCTGTCACCATGACCCACAAGGCTCTAGATCTGTCCCTGCTCCTTGCCTCAGGGACCACACCTTCTACCACTTCCCTCGCTTTCTCTGCTCCAGCCCCACAGGACTTCGTGCTGCCCTTGAACATGGCAGGCTTCCTCTGACCTCAGGGCTTCTGCACTGGCTCTTCCCTCCATCCCAGATGTCTGCCTGGCTCACTCCCTCACCTCTTTCATGTCTCTGCCAACATGTCACCTCCTCAGGGCCCTCCCTTGACCTTCCTATCTAAAGTAGGAAAGGGCAGGGCATGGCAGCTCATACATGTAACCCCAACACTTGGGAGACTGAGGTGGACTGATCACTTGAGGGCAGAAGTTCGAGACCAGCCTGGCCAACATGATAAAACCCCATCTCTACTAAAAATACAAAAATTAGCCAGCCATGGTGACATGTGCCTGTGGTCCCAGTTACGTGCGCTCGGGAAGCAGAGGTTGCAGTGAGCCAAGATCATGCCACTGCACTACTGCCTGGGGTACAAAGCCAGACTCTGTCTGGAAAAACTAAATAAAGTAGGAAGGTCCTCTCCCCCATCACACCCTATATCCTTAGCTTACTTTCCTTTTCTTCATAGTCAATACTCATCACCAATTGATAGTTTTCCCTTGGGAAGAAAATTTCCTTCTTTCTTTCTTTCTTTTTTTTTTTTTTTTTTTTTTTGAGACAGAGTTTCGCTCTTGTTACCCAGGCTGGAGTGCAATGGCGCGATCTCGGCTCACCGCAACCTCCGCCTCCTGGGCTCAGGCAATTCTCCTGCCTCAGCCTCCTGAGTAGCTGGGATTACAGGCACCCACCACCATGCCCAGCTAATTTTTTTTGTATTTTTAGTAGAGACGGGGTTTCACCATGTTGACCAGGATGGTCTCGATCTCTTGACCTCGTGATCCACCCGCCTCGGCCTCCCAAAGTGCTGGGATTACAGGCTTGAGCCACCGCGCCCGGCCACTCTTTTTTTTTTTTTTTGAGACAAAGTCCTGCTCTGTCTCCCAGGCTGGAGTGCCCTGGCCAGATCTCAGCTCATTGCAACCTCTGCCTCCCAGGTTCAAGCAATTATCCTGCCTCAGCCTCCCAAGTAGCTAGGATTAGAGGCACCTGCCACCACACCGGGCTCATTTTTTTCTTTTTTTTTTTTTTTCTTAATAGAGATGGTTTCACCACGTTGGCCAGGCTGATCTCGAACTCCTGACCTCAAGCAGTCCACTCGCCTCGGCCTCCCAAAGTGCTGGGATTACAGGTGTGAGCCACTGCGCCCGGCCAATTTTTGTATTTTTAGTAGACATAGGGTTTCACAATGTTGAAATGATGAAATCTTGGCTCACTGCAACCTCTGCCTCCCAGGTTCAAGCAATCCTCCTGCCTCAGTCTCCCAAGTAGCTGGGACTACAGGCATACACCACCATGCCTGGCCAATTTTTGTATTTTTAGTAGAGACAGGGTTTCACCATGTTGGCCAGGCTGGTCTGGACCTCCTGACCTCAAATTATCCACCCGACACCGCCTCCCAAAGTGTTGGGATTACAGCCATAAGCCACGGCTTCGGGCCTTTAAGAAGATTTCAATATTGCCAGGTTTTTTCATTTACCAAAATATGCGTAAAGTACAGATTTGTTTTTTAATTGCAACACCTAACAATTTTTAAACACGAGCAATAAATTCACGTCTTGAACAATCAGGGTGCTGGCCTTGTAAAACACCTCAGGGGCCACCTGCTGGATGTCAGTTTCGGCCGCCGCCTTAGCCCTCTCTCAGAACCACCCTTCCACTTCACAGATGGGGAGGGTGGGACCCGTGGAAGACCAAGGACTGTTTACCCAAGTCGACCGTGGCCCCCAAACCCACTAACCCACACCCTGGTCCCACAGGGCCCATTCTATCCTCTTCCTCCTAACACCCCCCCTGCCTCCCAGGGGTCCCGCATCTCCTTGTCCTACCACTGCAGGAGGGACCGCATCCTCGGCGAGGGGTATCACAAATTTCTTCCTTGCCGGCGGCCCTGCGGGCTGCGGCACTCCCTCCTTGTCCTTCCCAGGGTCCATCTGGAGCCTGAAAGGGAAGGTGCCAGGAGCGAGTGAGCCATCGGCGTCCGCGTTCTCATCCCCCACCAGGAACCCCCCAACTCACAGCCGTCCCCAACAAAACTCCCACAGCTCCTTAGCGTTAAGCACCAAACACCTAGCGCCCCAGGCTCTATAAAGCCCCGCCCCTTTGACCTACACCTTGGGCTCGCCCCGCCCCTTACAGGTCTACAAGTCCCATCGCTCCGCCCCTCGCCCCCACCGTCCACCGCCTTCCGTTCGCCCGGCCCCCAGGGCTAGCATCTGGACGCCCTCCCAACGCCTGGCCTTGCCCAACTCTCAGACTCAGCAATGATTGGCTTCCGCGGCTGCCAATCTCCACCCGCATTCTCCGCCTCCCGCCCCTCTTGTCCCGGACTGGCGGGTTCCGCACCACAAGGCCTCCCTCACCTGCGGTTCTTGGAGCCTTAAGGGAAAGACTGGAGGAGGATCGAGGCGGCCCACCGCCAGCTTGGCCAGCGCGGCCTAGGGCTCGCCGCACTTCCGGCCTCTCTGGCCCCCGCGCCCCAGGAGAGTAGAGCATACAGCGGGGCGATCCCTGTGCAACTCTCTATGGTCCTGGAGGACCGCGGAGGTCGTGGGAGAAGAGAGGTGTAACCTCAGAGGCTCTGGCTCCCAAACTGTTCAGTTCCAAAGCCCTTATTGAGCGCTTCTGTGTGCCCAGGCCCCAGGCAGGGCTCAGTAGAGAAGAGATCGCAAGAGATCCAACTTGGTCCCTCCTCTCAGTACGGAGAGACTTAAGTTTGAATCCCAACTCAGCCATTGACTTGACCTCAGTTTCCCCATTCATTCATTTACTCCACACCTATTCCCCCCACGCGCTCCCTCTCTTCCCGGTCCTGTGTGAGTCCGTGCTGGTGACACAGCAGTGACCAACGACAGCCCCGTGTAGTCCTCCCGGCGCTTACGGTTTAGTTCAGGGACACAGACATCACAAACCGTGTTGACCTAGAATGGGTAGGTCTGGGATGGGAGATCCCGGGAGAGCCGTGGGAAGGGGGTCAGGGAGAGCGCCTGACTCAGCCCCGGAGTCCGGAAGGGCTTCCTGGAGGAAGGGACATCTGAGCAGGGGGGCCTGGCTGATGAGTTAGTATTAGTCACTTCCTGAAAGGATAGTATCACACTGTTCTGACTTGCAACTCTCCAATTACTCAGGAAATGGAACGTTTTTGTGAATGTATTGGTCTTATAAATTATGTCTTCTGTGAATTGCTTGCTGATATTCCTTGTCCATTTTTAAAATGGGTTGTGTGCCTTTTTTATTACTATTAATTTGTAGGAGCACTTTATGGATTCTGATTCTAATCCTTAGTTCCATATATTGCAAACAGTTCCTCCTAGTTTGTACTTCAGGTTTTAAAGTTTAGTTATTTTTGGCACAGAAGTTATTTGTGTTTATGTGAAACTGTTTATCAATCTATTCCGTTCTGACTTTTGTTTTGGTGTGTTGTTTAAGAGCCATAATCCAGGGTCATAATGATATAGTCTATCGTTTCTTTTATCTATGTAAAAGATAAAAGCCTCATGTTGTCTTCCTGGAGCTTACGGTTCCATGAGGGACGTAGACATGTTCCCAAACCTCGATGATCTAGAATGAGCAGGTCATCTGTCTTTAATCTATGTAAGATTTATTTATTTATATATTTTTGAGACGGAGTTTTGCTCTTATTGCCCAGGCTGGAGTGCAATGGCCTGGTCTGGGCTCACTGAAACCTCTGCCTCCTGGATTCAAGCAATTCTCTTGCCTCAGTCTCCTAAATAGCTGATATTCTAGGTGTGCCACCACCACACCTAGCTAACTTTTGTATTTTTAGTAGAGACAGAGTTTCACCATGTTGGCCAGGCTGGTCTCGAACTGCTGACCTCAGGTGATCTGCTGGTCTCAGCCTCCCGAAGTGCTGGGATTACAAGCGTGAGCCACCGTGCCTGGCCAAAATTTATCGTTGAAAGTGCAGTGAGGGGCCGGGTACAGTGTCTCATGCCTGCAATACCAGCACTTTAGGAGGCCAAGGTGGGTGGATCAGGAGGTCAGGAGATCAAGACCATCCTGGTCAATATGGTGAAATCCCTTCTGTACTAAAAATACCAAAAAAATTAGCTGGACGTGGTGGCACGAACCCGTAGTCCCAGCTACTCGGGAGGCTGAGGCAGGAGAATTGCTTGAACCCAGGAGGCAGAGGTTGCAGTAAGCTGAGATTGCACTCCAGCCTGGATAACAGTGCGAGACTCCATCTCAAGGGGGAAAAAATGCACCTAGGTAGTGGTTTATGAGTGGTAGAACCAATTGTCTCAAGTTGACCAAAGGTAGATCTTTTCTCCACTATTCTGAAATTTTGCCTTTATCCCAGAGCAAATTCCCAAAGACACACAAGCCTATTGCTGACGTTTCTGTGCTGTTCATTGATCTTTTTATTTGTTCTTTCCTGCATGTGCGTGACCATCCCTCTGTTTCCTTCACATCAATCTTTCATCGAAGGATATGTGTCTCCGTGTCTACATTAAACCTTGTCTCTACTAAAAACACAAAATTAACCAGGCGTGGTGGCACGTGCCTATAATCGCAGCTACTCAGGAGGCTAAGGCAGGAGAATTGCTTAAACCTGGGAGGTGGAGGTTGTGGTGAGCTGAGATTGTGCCACTGCACTCCAGCCTGGGAAACAAAAGTGAAACTCCGTCTCAATTTAAAAAAGAATTTTTTTTTTTTGAGATAGGGTCTGCGTCTATTGTCCAGATCTGTTGCCCTGAGCCTTGCTCATCTGCAAACGCCTGTTTGTTTTCACCCTAACAATTGAAATTCAGAATCCTAGGCTGGGCACAGTGGCTCACACCTTTAATCTCAGCACTTTAGGAGACCAAGGTGGGCAGATCACTTAAGCTCAGGAGTTTGAGACCAGCCTGGACAACGTGGTAAAACCCATCTCTACAAAAAAAAAAAAAAAAAAAAAAGACATACAAAAATTGGCTGGGCACGGTGGCTCATGCCTGTAATTACAGCACCTTGGGAAGCTGAGGCAGGAGAATCGCTTGAACCACGAGGCAGAGATTACAGTGAGCAGAGAGCAAGCCACTGCACTCCAGCCTGGGTGACAGAGCCAGACTCAGTCTCAAAAATAAAAATTAAAAAATTGCCAGGCATGGTGGCGTGCACCTATAGTCCCAGATACTCGGGAGGCTGAGACAGGAGAATCACTTGAGCCCAGGAGTTTGAGTTGCAGTGAGCTATGATCATGCTACTGTACTCCAGCCTGGTCAAAAGAGGCTCCGTCTCAAAAAAAAGAATTGCAGATTGCTACATAGCATGAAGATAAAACACAGTTCTGTGAAGCAGGTGGTGGGGGAGGAGAGCCATACAGCTGCAGAAAAAGGGGCTCTATACATCATAGTTATGATCAGCCAAATACAGATCACACACTTACTATCGAGTAACGCCTTGCAGCAGCCCTCCCCCTAGGCATCATTACCCCATTTGACCCATGAGGGAACTGAAGCCTCGGGTGAGAAAGATCGTGGAAATACGCCTCTGTAGGCCAGGCACGGAGGCTCACACCTGTTATCCCAGCACTCATGAGGTCAGGAGTTCATGACCAGCCTGGCTAAGGTGGTGAAACCCCATCTCTACTAAAAAATACAGAAAAATTAGCCGGGCATGGTGGCAGGCCCCTGTAATCCCAGCAGCTAGGGAGGCTTCGGCAGAGAATCGCTTGAACCCAGGAGGTGGAGGTTGCAGTGAGCCAAGATCACACCACTGCACTCCAGCCTGGACAACAGAGTGAGACTCTTGTCTTGAAAGAAAAAGAAAAGAGGGCCGGGCACGGTGGCTCAAGCCTGTAATCCCAGCACTTTGGGAAGCCGAGACGGGTGGATCACGAGGTTGAGAGATCGAGATCATCCTGGTCAACATGGTGAAATCCCGTCTCTACTAAAAATACAAAAAAAAAAATTAGCTGGGCATGGTGGCGCGTGCCTGTAATCCCAGCTACTCAGGAGGCTGAGGCAGGAGAATTGCCTGAACCCAGGAGGCGGAGGTTGCGGTGAGCCGAGATCGCGCCGTTGCACTCCAGCCTGGGTAACAAGAGCGAAACTCCGTCTCAAAAAAAAAAAGAAAAGAAAAGAAAAAGAAGAGAAAGAAAGAAAAAAGAAAGGAGGGAGGGAAGGAGGGAGGAGGAAGGAAGGAAAGAAGAAAGGAAGGAAAGAAGGAAGAAAGGAAAAGGCCTCTGTATCCAAGGCCATACAGCGTTTCTAGAAGTAGGTCATCCCAAGTAGCAGGGTTTGTGACTCAGTTCTCCCTTTGGGGACTGGATTTACCAGACTTAACCCTGCAAGTCTTGCGTTTTCCGCCAGGGGGCGATGGTGCACCACAAGAGGATTGCTGGGGAGCCAGAACCCAGCGGCGGCCAAACCCCCTAAAACACAGCCCCTTCTCCGCTTCCACCCATTTCCCTGCCGCAGAAGTACCGCAAAGGGCCCACCACCTGCGATCAGGGGAATTCTGAACCTGTCAACATTAGTTAAGAGCGGGGATGGGGCTGGGAAGTTGCCCTCGGTTCTAGGTTATTTCCAAGTTAGATGTTGGATTTCTACCCTCAGATTTTCTATTTTTCTTTACTTTTTTTTTTTTTTTTTTTTTTTTTTTTTTTTTTTTAGACGGAGTTTCGCTCTTGTTACCCAGGCTGGAGTGCAATGGCGCGATCTCGGCTCACCGCAACCTCCGCCTCCCGGGTTCAGGCAATTCTCCTGCCTCAGCCTCCTGAGTAGCTGGGATTACAGGCACGCGCCACCATGCCCAGTTTTTTTTTTTTTTTTTTTTTCCTTGAGGCAAGGTCTTTATCACCCAGGCTGGAGCGCAGCGGTGCGATCACATCTCACTGCAGGCTCAACCTCCCGGACTCAGGTGATCCTCCCACATCAGCCTCCCGAGTAGCTGGAACCACAGGCGCGCGCCACCACGCCTGGCCAACTTTTGTATTATTTTGTGTGTGTGTGTAGAGGCCGGGTGCGGGGGGGAGGGTTCCCACTATGTTGCCCAGGCTGGTCTCGAACTCCTGGGCAACAGCGATCCTCGCTTCTAGGCCTCCTAAAGTGCCGGGATTACTGGCCTGAGCCACGACGTCCGGCCTAGGCTGTTTCAAAACGAAACCTTGGAATCCCGGATTCAAATCGCTCCAGCCCCCAGAGTTGCGCGTTCGAATCCCCACGCCATATCCAAGCTCCGATTCCGCCTCTTTCTTCCAAACGCCCCAAGTTCCAAAATTCAGCGGTAACTCGTTTCCTGGGCCACTCCCCGGCTCCGGCGCCTGCTCCCGTCCCCAACTTTCCCCTCCTCTCAACATCCAGCCCTTTGTGCGCCCTGGAACGGGTGGGGTGGGGTTGGAGACTGTGAGGACCCGAACCTCACCGCCAATTCCGCCCGAGGGGACCTGAACCCGAGGCGGAGAGCGGCCAGGCCGAAGGCTCGGGAAGCGGGCACCGCCGGGGGGCGCAGTGACCAGGCTGGCGTCCCCGCCCGCCTCTAAACTTAGCCGCGGTGACGCGCGGCCCGGCGATCGCGGCGGGGCCGGGGACGCAGGGGGGCCCGAATGGAGGGGGGCGGCTCGGCTCCGCGAGCCTCTATTTATAGCGCCCGGAACCCGAAATAGCGCGGAGCGGAGCGGCCGGGATGACGCGGGATCCGCCGGGGGCTGACTCACCCGGCCCCAAGCGGAGGCCCCCGGATGGGGGACAGTGGAGGCGCCTGGTCCCTACTCCGCGTCCTCCTGGGCACCTCTTCTGCTGGGACATCCCAAGTCTCCGCTGGAGAGGCTGCGGATGGATGTACAGCTAAGGGGAAGATCTGCAGCATGAGGGAATGAGGTTGGATCAAAAGTGGGACTTCCACCAAAAAAAAAAAAAACACAGAACCCAGCCAGGCGGGGTAGCTCACGCCTGTAATCCCAGCACTTTGGGAGGCCGAGGCGAGCACATCAGCTGAGGTCAGGAGTTTGAGACCAGCCTGGCCAACATGGTCTCTACTAAAAATAACAAAAATTAGCCAGGCGTGGTAACAGACGCCTGTGATCCCAGCTACTTGGGAGGCTGAGGCATGAGAATCACTAGAACCCGGAAGATGGAGGTTGCAGGGAGCCGAGATCATGCCACTGCACAATAGCCTGGACAAAAAGAGCGAAACTCCATCAAAACAACAAAAAAAAGAAAGAACAGAACGAAAAGAGCCAAGGACCTATTTATACAAAAAGAGAAAGGGGGAAAGCGGGGAGGAGAACAGGGACGTTTTGGAGGCAAAGGAACGGACTCACTGACCCTGGGTAGTTGCTATTCCAGAGCACACGCTGTTCTCCACGTGCTACGATGTCTTGCATACTGTTCCCATTCCCTAACGTCCTTCTTTGCCTTCTCAGCCTTGAGAACTCGTGTACCTTCAGGACCTGGTGCCCAGGGCAATTTTTTTGTTTGTTTGTGAGACAGGGTCTCACTCTGTCACCCAGGCTGGAATGCAGTGGCTCGATCTCGGCTCACTGCAACCTCTGCCTCTTGGGTTCAAGCGATTCTCCTGCCTCAGCCTCCCTAGTAGCTGGGACCACAGGTGCATGCCACCACACCCAGCTAATTTTTTATTTTTAGTGGAGGTGGGGTTACACCATGTTGGCCAGGCTGATCTCGAACTCCTGACCTCAAGTGATATGCCTGCTTCGGCCTCCCAAAGTGCTGGGATTACAGGCATGAGCCATCTCATCTGGCCGGGACAATTCGTCACATAAAAACTCCGTGACCCACTGAACTGGGGGCCCCATAAGGGCAGGGCCAAGGCCATCTCGGTCATCACCTCGTCCCTAGCACTGCCCAGCACAGAACGGGCCTCGGAAGAAATTAACTGAATAAAAGCTGCCGGTGATAAAATAAAATGACATTTCCCAGATTATAATAGCAAATGTCTACTGCATGCTCTGTGCCTGGCAGGCATATTTCTGAGCCTTATCTCCTGTGCACCTCGCTACAGCCCTGCAGGGATGTGCTTTTATTAATTTTATCACCACCATCCCTGTGTTAGAGACAAAAACACCGAGGCCCAAAGGGGTAAAAGGTAAAAGTACTGGAGCTCACTGCTTGCAGTCACAGCTCTGTCTCTCTCTCTCTCTCTTTTTTTTTTTTGAGACGGAGTTTCGCTCTTTTTTTTTTTTTTTTTTTTTTTTTTTTTTTTTTTTTTTAGTAGAGACGGGGTTTCACCTTGTTGACCAGGATGGTCTCGATCTCTTGACCTCGTGATCCACCCGCCTCAGCCTCCCAAAGTGCTGGGATTACAGGCGTGAGCCACCGCGCCCGGTAGTTTCGCTCTTGTTACCCAGGCTGGAGTGCAATGGCGCGATCTCGGCTCACCGCAACCTCTGCCTCCTGGGTTCAGGCAATTCTCCTGCCTCAGTCTCCTGAGTAGCTGGGATTACAGGCACACGCCACCATGCCCAGCTAATTTTTGTATTTTTAGTAGAGACGGGGTTTCACCATGTTGACCAGGATGGTCTTGATCTCTTGACCTCGTGATCCACCTGCCTCAGCCTCCCTAAGTGCTGGGATTACAGGCTTGAGCCACCGCACCCGGCCTTCTGTTTTTTTTTTTTTTTTTGAGGTGGAGTTTCACTCCTGTTGCCCAGGCTGGAGTGCAATGGCTTGATCTCGGCTCACCTTAACCTCTGCCTCCTGGATTCAAGCAATTCTGCCTCAGACTCCCGAGTAGCTGTGATTACAGGCATGAGCCACCACGCCCAGCTGATTTTGTATTTTTAGTAGAGATAGGGTTTCTCCATGTTGGTCAGGCTGGTCTCCAACTCCAGACCTCAGGTGATCTGCCTACCTGAGCCTCCCAAAATGCTGGGTTTACAGGAGTGAGACACCTGCGCCCAGCCTAGAGATTTCTCTTAAACCTGGGTCACCTTGGCTCCAAAGGTGTTCGGTTTTCAGAATACACACACCTGGGCACTGTGGAACCAAAAGCTAGGGATTGAGTCTCAGCCTGCAGCCCAAAGAACCTTATGGGGTCCCCCAGCACCCCTTCAGGGGGTTCTACAAGTTCAAAATTATCCTAAGTGGGGCGCGGTGGCTCACGCCTGTAATCCCAGCACTTTGCGAGGCTGTGGCAGGTGGATCACTTAAAGTCAGGAGTTCAAGACCAACCGCGCAAGCATGGTGAAACCCCATCTCTACTAAAAATACAAAAAATCAGCCAGGTGTGGTGGTGGGGGCCTGCGATTCCAGCTACTTGGGAGGAAGAAGCAGGAGAATCGGGAGACAAAGTTTGCAGTGAGCCGAGATCGCACCACTGCACTCCAGCCTGGGCAACAAAGCAAGATCCTGTCTCAAAAAAAAATCATCATAATATTGACATAATATATGATACATAATAATAATAATAATACTGGCCGGGCGCGGTGGCTCAAGCCTGTAATCCTGGCACTTTGGGAGGCCAAGGCGGGTGGATCACAAGGTCGAGAGATCGAGACCATCCTGGTCAACATGGTGAAACCCCGTCTCTACTAAAAATACAAAAAATTAGCTGGGCGTGGTGGCGCGTGCCTGTAATCCCAGCTACTCAGGAGGCTGAGGCAGGAGAATTGCCTGAACCCAGGAGGCGGAGGTTGCGGTGAGCCGAGATCACGCCATTGCACTCCAGCCTGGGTAACAAGAGCGAAACTCCGTCTCAAAATAATAATAATAATAATAATAATAATAATAATAATACTTATTGGGGGGTGGGGTCTCAGTCTTGCCCAGGCTGGAGTGCAATGGCGCGATCTCGGCTCACTGCAACTTCCACCTCCCGTGTTCAAGCGATTCTCCTGCCTCAGCTTCCCGAGTAGCTGGGACTACAGACATGTGCCACCATGCCTGGCTAATTTTTTGTATTTTTAGTAGAGACGGAGTTCCACCATATTGGCCAGTGCAACTTCCACGATATCGCAACAGACCAAACGCAGACACACACGTGAGGACCCAGCTGTCTACTGTTAAGCCTGACGTGAATGTGATTTGCAAAAATTAAAACAATGCCCTTAGTTACTAAATTTTTGTTTCAGGCTGGGCACGGTGGTACACGCCTATAATCCCAGGACTTCGGGAGGTCGAGGTGGGAGAATGACTCGAGCCCAGGAGTTCAAGACCAGCCTGACCAACACGGAGAAACCCCGTCGCTACTAAAAATACAAAAATTAGCTGGGCATGGTGGTGCATGCCTGTAATCCCAGCTTCTCGAGAGGCTGAGGCAGGAGAATCAATTGAACTCGTGAAGGGGAGGTTTCGATGAGCCAAGATCGCACCATTGCACTCCAGCCTGGGTGACAAGATCGAAACTCCATCTTAAAAAACAAACAAACAAACAAACAAAAACAGCCTGGGCAACTTAGGAAGACCCTGATTTCTACAAAAACATTGTTAAAATGAGCTGTGCTTGGTGGTGCAGTCCTAAATTCTGAACTACTTGGGAGGCTGAGGTGGGAGGATCACTTGAGCCCAGCAGGTGGAGGCTGCAGTGAGTCTTAATTATACCACTGCACCCAGCCTTGAAAACAGAGTGAGAACCTGTCCCCCCAAAAATTGTTTTTTATTTTGGAAAACATTGTTATTTTCATTTAAAACATACAAAAATCACAACATTTATTATTATCAATTATTTTTAGAGATGGGGTCTTGCTGTGCTGCCCAGGTTCATCTCAAACTCAAGTGATTCTTACACCCCAGCCTCCCAAGTAGCTAGGATTACAGGTGTACACCACTGCACCAGCTACTTTTTTTTTTTTTTTTTTTGAGACAGAGTCTCACTCTCTTGCCCAGGCTGGAGTGCAATGGCACGATCTCGGCTCACCGCAACCTCCACCTCCCGGGTTCAAGCAATTCTCCTGCCTCAGTCTCCCTAGCAGCTGGGACTACAGGCATGTACCACCATGCCTGGCTAATTTCTGTATTTTTAGTATGAATCAACAAATATTTCTAAAATTTCTCAGTTTTAATTTCCAATACATTAAATATCGATAGAAATCATACACATCAACAGAAACTCTTTGGGGTCCTCAATACTTTGAAAAATTTGAGACAGGGTCTCACTCTGTTGCCCAGGCTGGAGTTCAGTGGTGCAACCACAACTCACTGCACGCTTGAACTCCTGGGCTAAAGCAATCTCCCTACCTCAGCCTCCCAAATAGCTAAGACTACAGGTGCGCACCGCCACTCCTGGCTGCTTTTTGTTTTTTTTTTTTTTTTTTTTTTTTTTTAAAGATGGGGTGTAAGCCAGGCGCGGTAGCTCAAGCCTGTAATCCCAGCACTTTGGGAGGCTGAGGCGGGTGGATCACGAGGTCAAGAGATCGAGACCATCCTGGTCAACATGGTGAAACCCCGTCTCTACTAAAAATACAAAACATTAGCCGGGCATGGTGGCGCGTGCCTGTCATCCCAGCTACGCAGGAGGCTGAGGCAGGAGAATTGCCTGAACCCAGGAGGCGGAGGTTGCGGTGAGCCGAGATCGCGCCATTGCACTCCAGCCTGGGTGACAAGAGTGAAACTCCGTCTCAAAAAAAAAAAAAAAAAAAAAAAAAAAAAAAAAAAAAAGATGGGGTGTTGCTATGTTGCCCAGGTAGAGGCCTTCAATAATTAGGAATGTAAGGGGGCCAGGTGTCATGGCTCACGCCTGTAATCCCAGCACTTTGGAAGGCCAAGGTGGGCGGATCACTTGATGTCAGGAGTTCGAGATCAGCCTGGCCAACATGGCGAAACCCCATCTCTACCAAAATCACAAAAATTAGCTGGGCAAGGTGTCGGGCGCCTATAATCCCAGCTGCTCAGGGGGCTGAGGCAGGAGA